GGGACGGTCTCGCCCGGCGTCTCTCGGAGACGGTCCGATGGGACGGTCTCGCCCGGCGTCTCTCGGAGACGGTCCGATGGGACGGTCTCGCCCCGCTGGGGGACGGTCCCGCCCGGCGTCTCTCGGAGGCGGTCGGATGTTTCGGGGAGCCCCACTGCGATGTGCATGCGTACCGCTGAATCCCGCGTGGCACAGTGCACCCCCGCCATGCGTCTGGCTGCTGTCACCCCACCTCCTCCGCGCTCCTCTCCACCCGCTGGGTGTCCTGGTTAGGGGGCGCCCCCCCCGGGCGCCTGAGACAGGAGCCCGACTCGCTCTGCAGCTCCTGGAGGGGGGGAGGGGGGGAGCGAATATCCGGCCGGGGTTCAGGAGCGAGCAGGCAGTCAGGACAGCATCGGGAACATCGGGAACGTGCTCGCAGCTCTGACCCCGGACCGCCAAAGGGCCTACAGCGCCGACAGAGAGTCTGCTCTCCCGTTCCCAGGAAATCAGGATGAATTGGACCGGAATGTATTTTCCCTTGATCCCTGCAAGCGAGAAACAGATGCTCACACCCTGGGAGAGGCGGCTGACCTACTGCAGAAGAGGAGGCTGGGGAAGAGTGCGCACCCCTTCATTCCCAGTACCTCTGGGCTGGTGCTTGGTGCCTAGCCTAACACCGCTGCGTGTTCAGTGAAATCAACCCTTTGAAACTTCGTATGCAGTATTCAATGCCGTATATGAGGACCGGCGACGGGCAGACCTCTCAGGGACCCCAGAAACTCTGCGGTTGGCATCTCCCCCGGTCCCTCTCATGCTCTGCAGGAGTACCAGCCACCCTGGGCTCCCACAGTGCACCCCTGCCCAGACCCGCGCGACACACGTGCACACCCGGGACCCGGGGCACTCTGTATGTTGACACGTGACACGGCTCGGCCTGGCACGTCTGATCGCGGAGACACAGCCAGGGAATCTTCCTGCGCTTACTTCCTGAGGCACAAGGAGGGCGATTCTCCCCGCTGAGACCCCCGGTTTAAGGGCAGATCCCAGACCACACTGAGCTGGGGTACAGGCGGTTTCAGCCCAACTGCACCAGAGCCGCACAGAGCACCCCGACAGTCACACAGAGCACAGAGCACCCCGACAGTCACACATAACATAACATAACATTGCTTCACTTTATTAGCTCTATACAATTTCGCAGACCTCAGCTTGCTCTCCATGAGACACACAGACAGGGAGAGAAGCTGGGGGTCAGAGCGCAGGGTCAGCCATTTACACAGCGCCCCTGGAGCAGTTGGGGTGAAGGGCCTTGCTCAGGGGCCCAATGGAGTAGGATTCCTCTGCCAGCTGTGGGATTCGAACCGCCAACCTCCCAGCCACAGGCGCAGGTCCTGAGCCACAGAGCCACCCCACCGACCCACAGAGCACCCCGACATTCACACAGACCACAGACCACCCCGACATTCACACAGCGCACCCCAACAGTCACACAGAGCACAGAACACCCCGACAGTCACACAGAGCGCCCTGACTGCAAGGCACTTAACCCCAGCTGCTCCAGGGGTGCTGTATAAATGTCTGACCCTGCGCTCTGACCCCCAGCTTCTCTCAATGTGTGTGTGTCTCATGGAGAGCGAGCTGGGGTCTGAGAGAAGACACATTCCTCATGCAAGACACTGTATCTGGCCAGTAAAGTGATCTCCTATCCATCTTATATCTTGGAGCACCCCTATAGTCCCACAGAGCACCCCGACAATGGCACGGTCTCTCTCTCTCACGGTCTCGCTCTACCGCACGCTTTCACTCGCGAACTGCCCACGCAGCGGCAGCGTGACCCCACCTGCGCTTCAGCTGGGGGTTCAAGACGGTGTCCCCAGCTCCGCCCTCCCGCTATTGTCTCATGAACCGCCCCCCTCCTCCTCGCTGCACGCCCGAGCCCGAGCCCGTCCCCCCCCAGCGCCGTGGTCAACCCCACGGCCCACGCGTGCAGCGCTCACCGTGCACAGCTGCGGCGGCTGCCCCGGCGCGAGCTCTTCCCAAGGACTCGCGCCGCCGGGCCAGGGCAGGGAACGGGCTCCGGCCTGTGACGTCACCCCCCGAGTCGGGTCTTAAAGCGGCGACGCCGCTCCCGGGGTGGGGTCCGCTATTTCAAAGGGAAACCGCCGAGGCGCTGCAGGCGGACTCCGGCAGACAGAGACTCAATCCCAATAGTCTGTCTCCCAGTAATTCTCCCTATGTTTACAGTATATGTGAATATTTTATGATATGTCTTTGTTTTAAATGTCTGTAGATTATATTTTACTTTTACTTTATGTTTTGTTGCATGTTAATTTTATTCGCTTTGGCAACACTGATTGTACCCATCGGTCATGCTAATAAAGCACCTTGAATTAAGCTGAATTGACTCGCAAGACTGTCTTGCAGGTGGCGGGGCCGGTCTCAGCCGTGGCTGGAGAGCCAAACTGTAAAAAAAAAGAAGCAGCACTATTTCTGTGCTCACTGCAGGCGACACCCGCGGTGGCTGATTCGCCGCCCTCAGTTTCCGTAGAAAAATAAAAGAGAGTATTGTTACCCCACACCGGGGCTGCGGGGTTTTACCTGCGGCACCAGAATCGGAACAGGATCTTGAGTCCAATTCAGACCGGTTTAATTCAAAGAGCCTTACCGAACCGCTGGCTCACAGTGTTGCAAAAGCCTAGACAATTAATAACACATCTACAGACATCAGGTGAGGCTCATTATTATTATTATTATTATTATTATTATTATTATTATTATTA